TTTGGATCTATGGGAAGCTGAAACATGCAGATCATCTAAAGGCAGGAATTTCAGACCAGCCTTGCAAACATGGCGAAACCCCGTCTCTTCTAAAAATACAAAAATTAGACAGGTGTCATGGCGTGCACCTGCAGTCCCAGCTACTTGGGAGGCTGAGGCACAGCAATCGCTTGAAACTGGGACGTCGAGGTTGCAGTGAGCAGAGATTGCACAAGCAAGCAGAGATTGCATAAGCAAGCAGAGATTGCATTCCAGCCTGGCAGACAGGGTGAGACTCCGTCTTAATAATTAAATAAAGTCAATATACATGATGGAAAATCAGAGTAAAAATTATTCTCGAAAATTCTTTCAGTGACGCTCCCCAATAATATAGCATACATGGCTCTGTACTATCTCACTGTGTTTCAGGAAGCATAATATAACTTTGTATAATTTCCACCAGAGTTTGATGGAAATGGAGCTGTTTCCTCCAGTCTGCTTTGTGTAAAGTTGTCATTTTAGGGGCCATGTACTAGAAAAAGATACTTGTTTTTAATTTTTTTTCCTACCGAGTGTATATAATTGAATTAAATGAGCATTTTCTGCAACAGCACTCAACAAAACATTATAAGATAATGAGTTAATTCTACAAATAAAAACTGCAGGCTTGAGAGTAGTGACAAAAACTACAGTCTATCAGTTCAGAAACTATCATAATACATCCTTGAATGTCAAGTCTCAGTCACACTGGAAAACTGTCCTCAAATTTCCCAAAGTTGCCTGTCAGCTTTGCAACAGCTTTCCAAGAGTATATGTATCTTTTATTCCTTTACATAGAAATTGTTTGCTGATAAAGCAATTTTTTCCAAAGTATTTCTCTTTAAAAATAAGAATAAAGTCTAGATTCTAGAAAAATGCTTTCTTATATCTGGCTACAGCTCATGTTAATATTTTATGTATTAAAATGATAAACAAATATAGTTAAAACAAAACAATACAAAAATAAAAAGTATCTCCTTGCATCCCCCTCAGACACAAAATCAATTCTAGTCTTAAAAAAAAAATACTCGATGTCATTACCATATGACCCACAATTTTCACTCCTAGGCATTTGTCCCAGGAAAATGGATGTTTATGTTCACACAGAAACCTCTACACAAATATTTATAGCACTTTTATTTGTAATAATCAAAAACCAGAGACAATCTAGAAGTCCTGATTGATGAGTGATGTGGTACACACATACCACAGAATACTACTGAACCAAAAAAAGGGAACAAACTATTGACACATACAAGCTGAATCTCCAGAAAATGATGCTGGGTAAGTCAAACCCCAAAAGGTTACACACTTTAATCCCAATTATATGACATTCTTATAAAGACATAATTATAGAAATGGAGAACAAGCTAGTGGTTGCCAGGGTTAAGGAAGGAGTGAGATGGTTTGGAAGTAGGCGCGGCTATAAAAGGGCGGTATGAGGGATCCTTCTGGTGACAGAAATGTTCTCTATCTTGACTGCATCAGTGTCAATATCCAGGTTGTGATGCTTTGCTATACAGTATATTGTAAGAAGCTACTACTGGGAGAAACTGGGTTGTGTTCAACAATATCTGTATTATTTTGTACAACTGCATGTGAACTTATAAATCTGAAAAAGATAAGTTTAATTAAAAATAAAAAAGGAAATCTCTTTGGCCTAATAAATTTACAACGCTGAGATCTAAGCTTAAGAATTCATCATAAGCCCTAGGATTCTTTGTCATCATCAGATTTCATAGACCTTCTTAGTTCCTTCCCTAAGCACTCCTTCTCATCAGATATACCCCTTCACCGTGTCCACACCATAGAGGCTGGAGACCTGTCTGCACAGAAAAATTCTTCCATCTTCCTATAGCTGCTATAAAGGCCACAACAAGGAATTTCCCAATGGCAAGGTAATCTGTCATTACCTCAATGACCCAAATGCAGGGATTCTGTGAAGGAGGTGGATGTCAGCCTTCTTTACAGAGATCAAACTCTGTCAGTTAGGGCAACTTTTTCTTGTATCTGAAGTGAGCCAACAGATTTGTTTGAGGAAGAGATATTCTATTCCAGAGAGACTATCACCGAGAATTAAAATACACATAGAACTACCTTCCAAGTCTTTTTCCTCCCATAAATATAAGAGTCACATTAGAAAGTTATTTTAAATCTAATCTAATAACATCTGATTGCCAAAAGAATGACCATGATAGAAAAAGGGATTTTTTTAAAACCTTTTTTTCCAGGTATAAACATTCATTCAATCCAATAAAGACATTTTAGAAAAAAGTCAACCTATACATTTTATTGTACTTTTTCCTATACTTTGGCTAAAACAAAAAATATTCAGTGATACTATAAAATACTAAGCATTTTCAGTAAAATTGGCAATCAAGAAGAACCACCTGCTACATGACAACTGAGGATTTTAATTGGAAAAATATTGTAGCCTATAAACAGGAACATCCAAAACATATTTAAAACACTTGAGCACTTTGATTTTTCCATGTCCTTTGCATCTAGATTGAAACACATCACAGGAAATTTCAAAGACCGATGGCTGAATCTAAAAGAAAAAAAAAAATCCACTTAGTTATCATGATCATTGTCACCATCAATCCCTAATATCTTATACTTCACTGGTCACACT